AGTTTCCGACTCAGAGACGTTAGAAAGTCGATACGAGTCTCTGCAGGTGGCGTAGGACAACGCCCCCGAGAAGCCACGGTCCACGCTCCGCCTGCCGCAGCTGACAAACGAATTGTCGGAATCCACCGTCGATGGGTCCACCCTTTTGCTCACTGAAGCCCTTGAACCCTGCCTTGTGAACGGCGACCTGCTCATCCCACCAAAAGCATTCCATTATCACCATTAAAAAAAAACTATAAATTTTCATAATAGCCAGCAGATTAACAGATATTCACTTTTAAGGAGGCCTTGTTTCTACCGGATATTGTTCTTTTTGTGTTTTTACTTTTCGATTGTCCTTTTGGGGCTTCCCCTCAAGGCCTCATGCCAATAGAGAGGTTTGTAACGACCCAGACACATCGCTACCAGATATTGTCATCTTTGGACTTTTACTTTCAGATATTGTCCTTTTTGAGCTTTTCCTCTTGGGCTTCCCCGCTCGTCTGGTGGGGGAAGGTTTCCACACCACACCCTAGTAAATGGTGTTTATTCTCCTCCCCAATCAATGTGAGGACATCACAATCCACCTCTTTCGGGGCCTAGCGTCCTTACTGGCACACCGCCTCGTGTCTACCTCCCCTTCGAGGAATAGCGAGAAGGCTGGCACATCGTCCGGTGCTAGCTTTGATACCATTTGTAACGACCCAAGCACACCACTAACAGATATTGTCCTCTTTGGGCTTTCCCTTTCAGGCTACCCTCAAAGCTATAAAACGCATCTGCTAGGAGAAGACACCCTGGTGGTTTGTTCTCCTCCCAACCAATGTGGGACATCACAGAGGGTATTCTTGATTATAAACTCATGATCATTCCCTAAATTAGTCGCACTCTCATCCAACAAGCATTAATATCTTTTGAAAATTATATATTTACCTTTCATAAATTATCTCTAAAAATTTTAATATTAATAAAAATATTTTTTAATTTAAAATATTTAAAGGTGTATTTTAAGTTTTTTTTTTATAATTTTAGAGCCTTAATGAAATTTAAGGTAATTTTTCAGACAAGTAAAGGTTTTTTTTTTTTTTTAATATTAATTTATCCTAACATTAATACACAACATTTTATAATATAATATAAAATAAACAAAGTATTGTTTGGATAATCTTTTAAAATAGTATTTATTAAAAAGTTGTAATGTATGGGAGGGCAAAGACGTAAAATCACCTACTTGAAGTCCAAATATTGTTGAAGGGCATGAGGAACCCTCATACTACTTTGAGTCTCTAAACCTGCAAAAATCAAATCACAAAAGGATAAAATAGTCTTTTTACATCTCTAAATAAATATTAATTCGAAAATATTTGATAATTTATTTAAAATGCAAGAAGACATACATCTAGATGATTTGGACCATAGTGGGTTGGGCTCAGCCAGGAGTTGGGAGACATTAGTGCGTTGATGCAGCAGCTGGGGGCGCGGCGAGGCACGCAGCGACTGGTTGCGCGGCGGAGCAATCGGCCTTGCCGGCACTGGAACTGTGGGCTGCCTCACCGAAACTTTCCCTCTGTGACCGATGGTGTAAACTGTGCAGAAATCTGGTGCTCCTTTTGATACACTGCTTGGCACATCTGATTTGAATCTCCTGCATTAACAACAAGAACATCATCATGATTATGAATAAGCATTTCTTGTTGTTGAGATTCAAGTCAGATGAAGAGGAAATTACTTGTAAATTTGTGCGGCTGATCTTGTAGGTGCTCCCATTACTAAAATGTCTACAACGTTTTTGGAGACGTAATTTATTAATGTCTTTGGAATGTCTGATCCCTCTAACATCACCTCATTGCATGTTATCTGTGTTTTTCAATCACATTATTTATAGATTTAGCGTTACTCAGATATGTGTTCGAGAGAGGGAGAAACTGACATTGCTACTTGTGCAAATGCAACGAAAAGGAAGGAAGAACTGATCGTTGATATGATTGTCGATGTGATGATGTTTGTACAAAGCGGTCTCGCCGTGATCGAAATCGGCCTTGAGATTCGTCGCTACAAACCGATTTGTAAAAGATTTAAGAAGAATCGCTCGATTTCAAAAGTTAGGGTTTATAATTTCTTACTCGCATTCGCGGTGGAAGAGGATTTGTGTTTAACGTGAAGCAGAGTAACGACTTGGCCTCTGCTCAGAAGGCGATCGATTGTCCATTTCAAAGCTTGTTGGCTGCCTTTGTCTTTGTCGATCGCCACCACCATCTCTTTCTTCTGAGCTCCGCCTCTCGCCATTAAATTTCTTCGATCGACCTCTTCTCCTCTCTTCTTCTGAGAAGGAAGGGAAAGAAAATACGGTTTTAATTGAGAAGGGGATTTTGTGAGGAAGATCCACGGATCGGGGTTTTGGAATCAACGGAGTAACCGAATTGTTCATTGTGAGTATCTATTTTGAAGAGGTTTCTGTTGAATTTGAACCAGAAGAAGAATTTGTTGTACAAAATTGTCAGTTTGTCGTTGCATTATTGTTGAAGACGATAGGGTGTCAGTTTCCCTCCTTTAGTTCATTATTTTTTATGAATTTCATATAATACTTAACCTATGCGTAAACTTTATATTGTATTGTTCTTTTTTTATTCATTATTTTGCATGAATTCATATAACATATCGCAAGCTTGATTCAAGGCGTCAGCAATGCGACCCATCAACCTACTAGCATTGGGGGAGAAAACATAGCATGTTGCAACAAAAGCTTGATTCGAGGCGTCACCAAAACACTGTCGTTTGTTCAAAAAACAAAAGCCCCTTAGCGCTCGGAGACGAGTGTGGGGGACGACCCTACGCGCAGGCAACATCAGCACTAGCTCTACGAAGTCAGAATCGAATCTTTTTGTTGGCTTTCTCGATTCTTTTGTGAATCAGAATGAAAAGACTAAGAGCTCTAGCTTCTAGCTTCTAGCTACTTCGCGTGCTTATTATTATTATTATTATGACAGAAATGAACGTGCTATTTTTAAATCGATTGATAGGTAGCCTAACGATAGAACGCATTTCCATTCAATGAACTAAAAAAAAAATTAATGTAGTATTAATAATTAGAACTAAAAGATTTATGAAAGGCTTATTTGTTAGTTTTAACTATTTCTTTATGAGTTTTTTTTTTTTTTTTAAATGTTTATAATCTATTTAGAAACATATGGATTAGGTATTTTGTCGACAAGATAATTTCATCTTAAATTATTGAAATACATGAAAATTCGATCTAACGAACTTGTGGAAGAATAAGACCTTTAAATCTAAACTATCAAAAAACATCAAAATAATAAACTAAAAAATAAATAATAATACATCAAAACAATAAACTAAAAAATAAATAATAAAAAAAGTCCGAAAGAACTTAATATTTAGATTATCTTGTTGATCGAATATTTGTTTTTTACTAGCTCTAGGATAAAAGAAAGCACACATGCTCTTGTTACTACATTATCCAAATACATGACTTTATATAGTCTTAAAATGAAACACTGACCTAAAAGTAGTCGGTACGTAAATGTAACTTAAGTAAATAAAAAGTCTTAAAGCTAGAAAATACATTAATAAAATACTATAATTCTAGATTTCAATCATTGGTTAACAATTTATAACCATATAAAAATAAATGAATCGTCACTTGAATTATCTAAAAACGTTTGTTGCATAAATAAAACTCGATTCTTGTTGATGTAACATTAATTGCAACTTGAGTTCAATTTTAATAAAACTTGATTTTAACTGGAGCAAAATTCTTCCCAATTTCTTCTAAGTTTATTGTACAATTAAGATAGATTTACTTGTTAATTTAGATAATTTAGAGTTTTATTTTTTTTATTTTTTATAAATAAAATCAATTTGATGGTATATAAATATGAGCACGTTGTTTTTTTTATTTCAAAAGTTACATTTAATAGAATTTATTTTTTGAAAGATTAACGATATGCTTTTTAAAAAAATTATTTTAAACAATAATTATGGTATTATATAGTTCAATCTATCCATATAATTATGAATTATACGTTTACAATAAAATATTAATATTATATGAATTATGCTTAAATTGGAAAAAAAATTATAAACGTCACTAAAAAAAAAGACAGAACCAATGCTAATATCTTGTAAGAATAAATGAGGAGAATAAATTTGTAACAGCTCAAGTCCAGCAGTAGATATTATCTATTTTGGCCCATATCTCGCTAGCCTAATAATTTTTAAAACACATCTATTTAGGGATTTTTAAAACAAATTAATTAGGGATAGATTTCTACATTCTTATAAGAAATGCTACATTTCCTTCTCTAAAGAATGTGAGATCTCACAAATCCCATGGCCGACTCTCTTTATCCTGCTCATCACTCTCGTGCTACAACCTTACCTTTACCTAAAAAGCATTTTGAAAATGAGTTCGCACGAACATATAATAATAGCAAGCAAAATCAAGAGACTAATTTAAACATTGACATTGGAATCGAGATCAACGAGTCTATTAGCGTCTCAAGTAAGCTCTAAACAAATAATAAGCTTGATGCTTCACCTGCAAAACAGCTACCAATACCCCAAAGATGCAGCAGCATTGATTTAAAATATATGAACTCCACAGTACCAGAAAAGATTATTTGATCATTGATTTAAAACATATGAACTCCACAATAACAGGAAAGATTATTTCATTACCAAAATTGGAAAGTTCATACAAGTACAAAGCAACTGTTTCCACAAGATATACAAGCAGTACCTTACAGTGTTTGCTGATAAATAAAACAAGGAAAAAGAAGAAAAATGGTAGATAGTGAACATATTACACCCATATATATATATATATATATATATACTCTCCGGACTACAGAATGTCATTGAAAGAATACATGCTCTTAGAAACTTATGGATAGAGTAATTGGTAGAAAAAAGTATTTCACAATTTTGGCATCCATTCTATCAATCAACACATAAAACCAGTCCAATTCTTAAAAGATGCTGAGTTCTCAAGGGAAACCAAATTTTCGAGGGAACAGTTCGAAGAGGGGCGACGACAAAGATCGAGTTCATTCCAGTGTCCACTTTTGCTTCTTGTGTCTCAGCCTGTTTCCATGTCCTTCAGTTTTTCTTTCATTGTTTCTTTTTTTTTTTTTTTCCTTTTCTTATTCAGTTTCTATTGTGTACTGTGAGATGTGTTCGGACTGAGAATTAGGTCATCGACTCCACCGTGAAGCACGGTACCAGAATCGGTATCTTTCGGACATTGAAAGCCCTCCAGCATTTGTACCACCTGGCTCATAGGGGGTCTGCCTTTTGGATTTTGGCTCAGACATTGGTAAGTCAAATTAGCAACCTTCATTGCAGTTTTAGTTGAATATTGTCCTTCTATTCTAGGATCCAATATCTTCAAAATTTTCTTGTTGTGGTTCAAGAGCGGGCGAGCCCACTCAACCAGGTTGTGCTCTCGACTTGGTCTGTTCTTGTCCATTACTCTCCTGCCAATAAGGATCTCAAGTAGAACCACCCCAAATCCATAAACATCACTTCGGGCAGTTAAATGTCCTGGTAATATCAATACATGGACTAAGTTCTTGAAAAGGGCAGAGCAACCAACTTAAGTTCATCCTTTCATTCAAGAACTAGAAGGAAAAAGGGAATAACAACATCTAGCAAATCACTCATGATTTTTTCAATCAATTAATTTTGATAAACAGAGGCAGTAACCATGACTGATAAGATGCTTACATATTGACTAAACAAGTACATGCAAACATTCTTGTTCAATATACCAAAAGAATAAAAGGCTGTAGCTATTGTAATTGTTCTGTATTAGGTACCTACAAACTCACCAGTCATTACATATTCGGGAGCAGCATATCCATATGTACCCATCACTCTTGTTGACACATGAGTTTGATCTCCCATAGGTCCTTCTTTTGCAAGGCCAAAATCTGAAAGCTTTGCATTGAAATCCTGATAAAGGTTACTTGAAATTCAGCAGAAGAAATTAAGATTAAAAGAACTCAATATACACAAATTCTTCTTTGTTCATCCCTAGTACTGTCACCTAGAGAGTTGAATTGGCTGTCAAACTTTTCTTTGGGAATTTATAACAGAGAAACTTGACTACTGCCTCTAAGGAAGAATAACGCCTGACTAATAAAACAAAATGATAGAGAAAGAAACTAACTGTATCAAGTAAGATATTTGATGACTTCAAATCACGATATATGATAGGTGTTTCTGCACCATGAAGAAACGCAAGTCCCTTTGCAGCATCTAAAGCAATTTTCATTCTTTTCGCCCAACTCAGTGAACTACCCACTCCTAACATCGTAGAAAAATGCAATGAGGGAACTGAGAATTAATAAATAAGCATGTTTTTCGAGATAAAGTGTATCTAATAAATAAGCCATATTCAAAAGCACTTTTTTAACTTCCCAAACCCATAAAACCAGCCGTTGGATCACATCATCTCCTCTAAAGTTTAGAAGAATAAAACAAGTTGTCAATTAGTGGCTGTTGTTAGCAGCATGAACCAAAGGTAGGAATAATTTGAAACCTTAAAGCATAATAAAAACTTCTTAAAGTTCATGAATAAAGTAGATAAAATACTCAAATCTATGGATGAAAATGTAATCAAATGAAAAACCACGAAAATGCATAGAAATTGTTTGGATGACTTAATAAGACTTTAACAATTGCTTAATAGGATTCAAAACACCCTTTTCAACATTAATATATATAAACATAAGATTATATCGATATGTAATGTCACTAGAAGGATATTTTTATAAGATAATTGAAGAAATTAATAAAAATTAATAAAAATAAATAATAAACAGAGAGAGATTAAAATCATAACATTTATTATTAAACAGAAAGAGATGTTGGAATAGCATATTATAAGTGGCCCATTTTGTGGCTTAAAAATATGGGTAAGTCATACTTCATCTTGAAAGAAATTTTGCTGGTTGGGGCTTTTAAGAAATTTAAATGAAATATTTCACTTAATCATAGTGAAAAGGCCATGTTCCACATAGAACAAGGGGCAAATTTTGTGGTAGGCTGACCTCTTGCTATCCACTGAGGCCTTTGGTTAAGAAAGAATTACATCATTCTTAAGGATTGTGAAAAATCTTGGAGGAGCCCAAAGGTGTTGCCACTTGTTAGGCTTAATGCCTCTACTTGGATGTCGGTCTCCGAGGTCTTATTATTTCGAATTGGAAGCCTATTTCATATAGTGTACACTCAATTGATTTTGAGACAACGTCCATTTAACCAAGTGAGAGCCCCACCCTCCTGAACTCTCTTCCAAAGAAAATATCTTATAATCTTCTCCAGCCTACAACTAGTAGTAGAGAGGATCCTCCTCGACAAAGTCATGAAGTAGGTGAGAAAGCCACTTACAAAGTAAAATCGATATTCAATCCAACAATCAGGGAGAAGAACACATTCTTCCCGTACGAAAGACTTTTCGAATCTGTTAAATTATTGGGCCCCAAGACAAAAAAAAAAAGATGGTATGCCTGAGGAAGGTAGTAGATAAAGTGGAGACCTCACGCTCAACAACAAATACCCATCTAGCAAACCGAAAAGTCCCAATTGAACTGTTATCCTCATTGATTTTAAGGCCTAAATAAGTTCAAAATCTGCCAAAATATTATTTCTGTTGACGAAAGAATCCTCCCTCCCTGAGCAAAAGAAGATTATATCATTAGCATTGAAAATGGGAGGAAAAGACACCTTCCCTACCAATGTGAAAACTCTCGTTGAGATCAATATCCATTCCCATGATAACTAACCTATCGAGGACATCAACTACCACTAGGAGGAAGGGAGAGAATAGATCACCCTATATAAGACCTCTAACCAATCTAAGGTAGTTCACCTCTATATCCACGATCTTCATTTTAACCTAAATGGATCAGTAAGAACTAAGAACTTTCATAAATTGGAAACTTGTAAACCAAGATGTCGTCAAGAAAGAACAGGGCAGACTTTCATAGATTGGAAAGTTGATGGGGCGTTCTACAACCCAAATGGCATCCCTGAGAATCATAATTACCCTCGCGTGTTCTAAACATACTAGAAATCAACCTTTGGTGGTTCATCGATAATATAGTTGCCCGGTCAACCCCTTCACCTTCAACGTTTTTTTCCTTGGCAAATCAAAACCTACCACTGAATTAAGAGATACCTCAATTATACTTGCTGCTTCCTCAATCTCCTCTATCTTTCCTTTGCAACCTTCGCCTGGGAAGCTAACTCATTTCAGCCAACGTATGTCTCCATTTCTAGCTCTTCTTCCTGACCTACAAGCAGCTATAGCTCCTGCCACCTGCAATGATGCTCTAGGGCAAACTTCTCAACACACTGAAAACAAAGGGAGGTTGCATAAAACCGAGGCAAAGTGGTTTATGATTGAATCTCAAAGATCCTTTTCTCGTTCATCCACAGCTCATTCTCTGGTAGACTTCAAAATGGAACATTTGTCATGCACTCTTCAGATTTTTTTTGCCATTTGTTTCCCAATCATTGATCAAACCAATTTTGGCGGATGGTAAAGGTCCTAACCAACCCACTACCTACCCCAGAGCTTTCATTATTTGGAGAGAAGGCAACTCCTTTCTTATTTTGGCCCAGATTGTTTTTGTGTTCCTATCGTTCAGCCGTCTCCATTACTTCAGTCAGCCAGAATTTCTCTTTCAGCTTATTTTTTCAGTATCCCTTCTGCACCCACCACTCTCATCCTTTACTCTTGTTCCAGAGATGAAAATTTCTTGCACAACCCTTCCTAAATTGGATGGAACAACTTCAGGATCAATGACTTGAATTTTTCCCAATCTCAGTTGGTACTGAATCTTCATATTGAAACCAAGTACAGGCCTCCTCATCCAGGAAAAACACAACCGCTTCCAATGTCTCCTTATTAACTAGTTGACTAACGACAAAAGATCAAGCCATCCTTTTATCATTCAACTCTCAAGACTAGTTCCGCCAAAAAGTAGGTGCCTCAAGTTTGCACAATCACATTTTGAACACCGGAGACCAGAGCAAGCACATTAAGCTTGTTTGAACCGTCATCAGAAGCTCTACTGTTAGTCTCTCCTGAATGCGATGGAATGCCTGCCATTGGCACCATTAGCAGCTTCTCTTCGTCTTCCCCTTCAACTTATCCTTCTCTTTCCGTTTTGCTCAATTGTCAATAGCATTATACAAATTTCTTCTTTAAACAGTGCAATGTCTTTCTCTATTTCACCTTGGTTTTCTTCAACGACACTAAATGCCCCTGAGATCTTTTACCTCATGCTCTGCTTCAATGCAACATTTCCTTCTCAGTTATCATTCCCTAAAATCAACCCACTAATGCCACAAATTATAGAGCCTTTTTCTATTATTTATGTTCAAATATAAACACATAGCTATGGGAAATTTGAAAGCTCCCCATTTTCTCCTAGCAACAAAGTATAACCGAAAATGATAAAAGACGGTCTTCACCCCTCATGCTAAAGTATTTAACCATATTTACAAACTTCGCCTCCCAACCCCTCTATCAAACACTTAATGAACCCCACACGCTCATAACTCAATCTCATAGTCTCTCCCCTTTTTTTATACTATATACTCACTTTTACTTTGTTACAATAAACCGAACTTTCATCAAGATAAAAAAAGAAAAAAATACAACCCACTTAAAAGGGTAGCCAAGCAACAATGTACGAAAATGAGCTCCAATCCAGTAATTACAAAAAGATCTTGTCAATGAAGCCCAAAGAGAAATGTAGAATCTAGCCATAGACTAGATATCGCTATAAGATTTCTCCTGCCTTGAAATTTTTGTTATTTTTCTCACACCAAAGAGCCTACAAAATAAAACAAACTCTCGCCTGCCACATAAACAAACCTTTTCCACTTAAAAGCACATCATGAAGAAGCTCTACAAACGTCTCCCTACAACCCAACAAGCAAGCAAAGCTAAAGATGAACATCTCAAAGAAACAGCTCCACACAACCTTGGCAAAATCACATCTCCAGAGCTAACGATCAAGGTCCTTTGCAACACTCCTACAAAGAATATAACAAAGTGGCCCATCCAAAGAGGATCCCCCAGCCGAAATCTGATTCAAAGTGTTAACTCTTCCACAATTGGGGGCCTATATGGAAAAGTCAATAATCTTGCAGTCATGAAGATGAAATTACTGAAGACCTATACTAAATCTTGTTTAACGAACTTCCCTTTATTTTGAAAGAAAGCCATAGAGAATCTATCTAGACTAGGTGGTCTTACCTAGCAAAGCTAAAACAACTTTTTCTCCTCAACTCAATGGACAATTATTAACTGAAAGGTCAATAGTTTGATCTCCTGTTCAACAATTGTTGAACTCAAAAAATATCCTCCAACAATTCCTTAGTCTGGGTAAAAGACGGGTCACCAATTTAAACCATCAAAAGGTCTAAGGCAAATAAGAAGAGAGTGGAGGGACATAAAAAAGAAGAGACTTTCATGGGAAAGTAGGAGATCTAGGATAGGAGAAACTAATACAATCATCCTTGCCCATCTCACTTTAGCCTTTTGTCTCCAACACGACCTCCTTACAAAGGTCTTTGAAGTCTCCTTTTAATCTAATTCGTTCATATCATATATCATAACCGAGACCAGAATACAGTAATCCTATCCAAAGTCCCTTGTTTCCTAATTTAATACCTCTTAACACATTCTTATATGACTCCTCCAACACAAGTTTAAGAGAAGACAACTTTTGCATGAAGGGAAAGCTCTCCCACTTACTCTCAACCCTAAAGCCCCACCACCAAGAAGGAAAGGAGGATTTGAAAGAAGGATGAGGCAACCACATACTTTTCAAACTAAAATGGACATGGATCAGAGATATATCACCTTGATTCAAGCACACCAACCAAGCCTGCTAAAACTCAACATCCCTACCCCTCAAAAGCAAAAATCTATCACTACTACACAAACTCTCTCTCTCAAATTTGACCGAGTGTCTATCTACCATCCCAACCCCCAAAATCTATAAACCCTAACCCCCCAACCCAATTGATTATCTGAAAAACTTGAACAAAATAGGCAAAGAGAAAGCCCCTTTAACAACTTCTAAGGATGGTAACCTACAAGAATCTTATAGGGATCAGAACTCAAAATGAAATTAACCAAAAGTAGTATTGATATAAAGAAGACAGTTACAAATTTCTCACACACTTTGAGAAGTCAAGAATCTGTCACAGAATTTTTCCAGAAACTCTATATTGAAATCTTCGAAGTCCCTCTATTTATAACTGGGAACTCCAACTTTTATGTATTTACAAATATGCTACTACTAATATTCATAACAGTATTCTTCTCATTTCACTAAACCAATATTCTTTCTTTGTAGCTTATTGCAATAGGAGAACTTTTCGTAATCTCCTTGACTCTTATGTATTTGAAAAATGTTTCATATTTCATTGGTTTAATGAAATGCTTAAGCATCAAACAGAAAAAGAAAGAACAGCAAAAAAAAAAAAAAAAAAAAA